TTTTTTTTTTTTTTTTTTTAAATATGTACTCATGGGTACCTGGGTAGCTCAGTGGGTGAAGCGTTGGAATCTTGATTTTGGGTCAGGTCATGATCTCATGAGTTCATGAGTTTGAGCCCTGCATTGGGCTCTGCACTGACAGTGAGGTGCCTGCTTGGGATTCTCTCTGCCTCGCTTTCTATGCCCCTCCCCTGCTTGTGCGCTCTCTCTCTCTCTCTCTCTCTCTCAAAAAAAAAAAAAAATATGTAGTCAAATTCCTCACCACGTTGTATTTATAGATTCCAGATTTTGAGTCACAGTTAAAAAGGTTGTCTCCACTTCCAGGTTTCAAAGGAATTCACAGATGTTTTCTTTTAATATATGTATGGTTTCATTTAAAATGTTATTTGAATAGCTGATTCATTATGGAAAGTTTTCTTTGTATGACTTTTGCACATTTCTTGTTAAATTTATTCCTAAATATTCTTTCTTTTCTTTTCTTTTTTTTTTTTTTTTTTTTTTTTTTTTTTTTTTTTTTTTTTTTGCTGCTATTGTAAATGTGGATTCTCTCCCAAATATCTTACAACTGGTTGATGATTGTATATAGGAAAACTATTTGTTTATTTATATTAATTTTATATCCTGCCAATTTAACAGAATTCTACTGTTTATGGTATTTTTCCCATTGATTCTATGGGTTTTCTGCTTATACAAGCCTTGATAACTAGAGATAGTTTTTTATATCTTTATTTCTAATTCTTATGCCTCTAACTGCATCTTTTACTTAATCAAATTAGCTAATACTTTTGATCAGTGGTTAACTAGTTGCAGCAATAGTGAGTACCTTGTCTTATTCCTGACTTTAGTGGGAATACCTCTAGTGTCTTCCCATCAAAACAGATGTTGGCTTTGGATGCCCAGGTGGCTCACTTTGTTGAGTTGGCTCTTGATTTCGCCTCTGGTCATGATTCTGGGGTCATAGGATTGAGCCCAGCATTGGGCTCCATGCTGAGGATGAAGCCAGTTTAGGATTCTCTCTCCCTCTCCCTCTGCCCCTCTCCCCTGTTTGCACTCTCTCTCTCTAAAATGAAAAATTAAAAATAAAAAAGAAGAGGAAGCTTTCTGTGTGGATTTCACTGTCGATCAATTCATTTGCTCAAAAAAAAAAAAGATTTTGGTTTTGGGGCTGGTTGTGTGTGTGTGTGTGTGTGTGTGTGTGTGTGTGTGTGTGTGTAATTATGTTAAGAAAGAATTTATCGATTTTTATTTTGCTGAATGTTTTTTTAAAATAATTCATGGGATTGAATTTTCTTTTCAGCATCAAAGGAAATGACCATTTGCTTTTTCTATGTGGATATAGTATTTAATATTAATGAATTTTTTTTGGTATTGAATCACCCTGCAATCATGGTATAGACTCCCTGGTCATTGTGTATTTTGCTTAATATGCTTTTGGCATCTGTGTGGCAACTTTTATTTAGAATTTTTCCTTCAATATTCATAAGAGATTAGGATCTGATTTTCTTTTATTGTGTGCAATCTTAATCATTTTTATATCAGTTTGAAATTCACTTCATAGAACTAATTTGGAAGTTTTCTTTTGTGTTGTATGTCTGTATATTTTCAGTAACATTGAAATGATCTTCTCTCTAAAGGCTTGTTATAGTTCCCCTGTGAAATCATCTAGGCCTGGCATTCTTTTCAGTGGGGGAGGGAGAGCTCTTGATGGTTAGGAGGTTCCTTGAAAGATGTTTCCCTGTACTTCTATCCCTCATCCTATGTGTTTGCAATACTGAGGGCTCCAGGTGGCAGGAAGTAGGAAATAAGGCTGCAGGGGTAGAGGATACCTTTCTAAAGGCAGATGAGGTCTGGGGTGGATTGAAAGTATAATCACCTTTAGGGTGGAGAAGGGACAAGAGGGGAGTAATGTCGGAGGGGAGGTGTGGGTGCGCCAGGAAGAGAAGCCAGAGAGGCCCAGGCTGAGGAGAGATCAGCTGCTTCTTCCCAAAGATTTTTTTTCTGACTCTGCATTCCAACCTCTCCTGGGGGGTCTCTGTCCTATTTTCACAGCTGAGAAGGCAAAGGAAGTTTCCCGTAGTCCACAGCCTCTGTCAGGGAGGTTCTCAGAGTCACCTTACCTGAGGGAGCTTAGACTAACAACAGTCAGCAATCCCCTCCCCAAATTCTCCCCATTTGCATTTGTCCTGAGCCAGTTTTAGCCTACAAGTCCTGTGGCTCACAGACTTATTAAAATTCTTGAAGTCATAGACAGGTCTGAGGCAGCTCTCTCAACAAGAGGTTTGGAACAACCACTCCACTGCTCAGATAGCTCTGCTGTGAGATGGCTTTACTTTGGCAAATGGTAGATAGGGGTAGGCTCTTCTGGGTGCCTTGAGAGTCCATGCCACCTTCTTTCCCTTGCTTCCTGTCTCTCAGCTTCCTCAGCCGTCTGTGGACCTGCAGGAGACCCGCCTTGGCCACAATACAGCCTATCACCAACAGGTGCTGGGGTCTGTGAGGTAAAGAGTGGGAGCACTTGGCTAGAAAGGTCACCTCCCTGCAGCTTCAGGATGTTGCATTTGATCAAAGACAAGGAAGGGGAGGGAGAGGAAAGTTGTGATATCCCTGAAGCTCCCCACCACTTCTGAACCCAAGGAAAGACTTTGGAGAGGCTGAAGCTCACACGCACTGCTGAGAGATTGTTCTGTGCTCCAAATGGTGTTTCCTGAGTACAGGTTGCAGGCCTTGTGGAAAGTGTGACCACTCTCAGTGCCCCCCTCACCCTGTGCTATGATCTGTTCCAGGCCACAGATTTCTAGCTGGAGCTGATGGAGTGGGCGGTGGGTTTGCAGGGCGAGGGAAAGGCTGGGATGTGCTTTACATTTTAGGCCAGCAGTGGGGCCTGTTTGGGATTCTCTCTCTCCCCTCCTCTCTGCTCCTCCCTCCCTGGGGCTCTCTCTCTCTTTCTCTCTCTCTCAAAATAAATAAATGAACTTAAAAAAAAAAAAAGAGACACTTAAAAAAAGAAACAATTAGAGAAACTCTTTAACCTTTTTTAAAAAACTTAGTCTAAGTTTCTTGGGTCTATCTTATTATATAAGATAGATCCTACCTCTATGGCTTTCACCCATCCTACTGTGGAAACCCAGGCTGTAAATTTTTTATAACCCAAACTCCAGTGTCCCCCTCTCTGTGCTCTATTTCCACTACTTGCTCTCAGCTCTCCCACCCTGGGCTTCTCTGCCTGGATAGCCATTTTTGGAAACACTCTGCCTGTTCAACTTCTGAACCCTCCCTTGGACACACATTAGGTATTACAACTTCCTCAGCTTCAGGCACTGTGACTGTTGAAAGGAGATTGGAAGAGATGTCTCTCCATGTGAGCCTTGAAGCTGAGTTAGGGCAGAGAGAAGTTGATGAGGCATATGTTGTCTAAGAGGCTGGAGGTGGGCTATGGGGGGATGCATGGGTCATGGTATCCAGTTAGGAATGGGTGGAACCCAGGGAAGACAGAAAGTGGTTTGAGAAGGGGAACAGGAGGACAGGAGCGTGGACAGTGTGGAACACTCAGGTTGCTTCTCTGGAGTGGAGGGGCACAGCACCAGGCTTTAGATGTTCCTCCTGGTGGAACAGCAGATTTTCAGGATGTGCACCATGAAACATGCCCAAGGTAGCAGAGGTGAGCCCTAGAGGCAGGTGAACAGAGACTCTCCACCTCCTTCACCCAGAGTGTAGCTTCACTGGAGAGCAAGCTTTGAGTATCTGAAGGCAGGGGCTGTGATTATTCATCCTGTGTTCCCAGAGCCTGGTGCTGAGTCTGGTGTTTCATAGGCTCTTTGGACTCTCAAGTGAATAAAAGAACAGAGGGAAGGAAGGAAGAAGGATGGGCCAACAGTACAACTTGATAATGAGCTGGAAACTCCAGATGAGTATTGATCAGCTCCTTTCCAGGGTCAGGTAATTGGGGCTCATCCTCCTCTGCACTAGTGATTTTCATGGGCAGGGGATGGGGGGTCACCAGTCATAAGAAAACTCCCTCTTCTGGTCTCCTCTGACTCTGCTGGGTTAGAGAAACTAAGCCAGAGTTCAACAAAATCTCAGTCCAGATAGACGAGACAGAAGAAATCAGATTCAAGAAGAGGACCTTATTTAAAGGAAAGTTGCTCTGTTGTCTGAGACTTTTTGTCCTGCCCACATCTAGTCTCTGAAGTAAATGCATCTTGTTCACTGGCTCATTAGATTTCAAGCGCAAGTCTTGGTCTGTAAAGTGTGCAAACTTAGATTTCTCTTAATGGGTGCACATTTTTTAGTAGGATGAAGCCAGGGGAGCCCAGTGACCTCCACAGGCTCTTCAGAATCTTGGGCGTTACCAGATACACAGGGCCCTTGAGCTTGTTAGACAAAGGCTGATACAAAACAAGTGCATCAAGACAGAATTTAAAAACAGCAGATTAACTAATAGTAACCCAAAGACCAATGCGTCTGTAACCACATTTTTGTTTATTTTTTAGTGTGTTTCCTTCATGGTCTTTCTTGTGGCTCACCCTATGCAGTTTGTGTACTTGTTGAGAGCTTTTTTTTTTTAATCTGTCTCTGACATTGTTTCTGCTGAACTCAGTTTTTCCGAGACCCTCTCTCCTCATAGGCTCAGTTTTGGCCTGCCAGCCACAGTCCTCCAGTTTCCGTGGTAGAAGAGGCCTAGGCTGCTTCCTGTGGGCCCCCCGCTGGGCAGAAGCATGCAGTGGTATCTCCTCCTGATTTGGGCACAGGGGCTGAGGCAGGCTCCCCTCCCCACCTCAGGTAAGGCCTATAAATCCAGCCTGGAACTGGAGAAACAGAAGGAGGAAGTAAGTCTGGGAGTGGAAGTGAGGGAAGGAAAGGCATGGTTTTCAGAATCCTGTGGGCCCTCATGTGAGAAAAGGCAGCGTCTGGGAAGCAGGTTCTGTTTTGGGTGGCAGATGGAGGCCTTGGGGTTGGGGTGTCTGACTGGCCAACCCAAGAAAGGAAATGGGGAGAGAAAGGAAACAGGGAGGAGGGATGATCAGTTTGCTTGTAGAAGTTCACTCCCATTTCATCGTTCTTTCTTCTGTCCTTGAGGAAACTTCTAGAAAGACATTGTACATTTTCTGTGGATCAAAAATGTCTTCTTCACAGATTCCAGAGAGTCTACCATTATAGACTGAATTTACATTAGATATGGCTCCTTCCATAATAAAAATCATAGACATATGTTTCTGAGGGGGGCACAGATATTGAGACACTATATTATAATTTAATTTGTATGTTGTTTTTTTTGAACCATTTGAGGGTGGAGCTGTACCCAGATGATGGGCGGTGGTCAGTGCTGAGGAGGGTGGTTTTGTCTGGGAGAAACAAGTTTCTCTCCAGTCTTCCTTTCCTTTGGATTTTGTGGCTTTCCTGAAGGTTTTTCCAGGCACCTCAAACAGCAGTCAGACAAACAGCAAGGTTTTATTTCAAGGAATAGTGTGCCCAGCGTAGAACTGGCTGCTGGAAGATGAAGTAAAACAAAAGTGGTGGCTGACAGGGCTTATGTTGTAGGTAGGGAGACAAAATAAGTACATGGAAATAATCAAAGAGCTTGTCATGAAGCTAGATTATAGCAGCATATCCTGAGTGGGTGAAGTGTAGCAGTTATAGTCCATGTGGGGAGTGACAGGATGGACAGGAGACACTGTCATTCCACAGACCAATTCTAGCCTCAAAGCCCTTTAGGATTTCTATAGGAACATTCCAGGACAGCTGTTGACATAGGACTCATGCACATTTTCTCCCCTTCCCTAGGAGCCGTGTCAGGCAGGATAGTAACAATGGGGAACGTTTCTGCAGAGGAAGGTGGCTCTGTCACCTTGCAATGTCGCCTCTCCTCTACCACTGCCAAAGTGACACAGGTCAACTGGGAGCAGCAGGACCAACTTCTGGCCGTTCATCATGCTAACCTGGGGTGGTACCTCTGCCCAGCCTTCAGGGAGCGAGTGGTCCCTGGCCCCAACCTGGGCCTCACCCTGCAGTCGCTGACCAGGAATGATACAGGGGAATACTTTTGTACCTATCACACCTACCCCGATGGGATATACAGAGGGACACTCTTTCTGGAGGTCCTACAAAGCTCAGGTATGCGCTCTGGAGCAGGGTGGCTAATGAACTTTCATCCTCCAGAACAGAAGATGTGTTCCTGCTAAACACTGTAAGAACAGGGTCTTTCAACCCTGGTTCACATTCAAATCACCAGGGAGCTTTTAAATGACACTGATGCTGGAGCCGCATCCCAGACCAATTTAATCAGAATCTCTAGGGGCAAAGTTGGGATGTAATAGATTCTAAAAGCATGCCTGGTGATTCAGATGTGCAGCCAGAATTGAGAGCCACTGTTTTGGGTAAGAAGGGCATCTTATATGTGTTGGTTAGGAAGAACACTTATTAAGGTCATTTGGGAAGGGTTCTCATTTATTGGTTTAAGATTAACCAGGCAAATTAGAATTAGCTTCTGGGGCACCTGGGTGGCTCAGTCAGTTAAGTGTCTGACTTTGGCTCAGGTCGTGATCTCACAGTTCATGAGTTTGAGCCCCACTTTGAGCTCTGTGCTAACAGCTCAGAGCCTGGAGCCTGCCTCAGATTCTGTGTCTCCCTCTCTCTCTGCCCCTCCCTAGCTCATGCTGTCTCTCTCTCTCTTTCAAATATAAACATTTAAAAAAATAAAAAGAAAGAATTAACTTCTAAGTTTTTTTTTTTTTTTATGTTTATTTATTTTTGAGAGAGAGAGAGAGAGCAGGGGAGGGGCAAAAAGAGAGGGAGACAGAGGATCTGAAGCAGGTTCTGCCCTGACAGCAGAGAGCCCAATGTGGGGCTCAAACTCTCAAACCTCGAAATCATGACCTGAAGTCAGATGCTCAATCGACTGAGCCACTCAGGCGCCCCTAGCTTTTAAGTTTTACAAAGGATTAAAACACAGTGTGTGCTAAATGTAAATACATAATAATTTACCTTTGTATGGTACTTCATAGTTTCCAGAGTGCTCTCACATTCATTATCACCTGAACACTTAAACCAGTTCTCTGCAAAGTGGGAAAAGATTTTTGCATCTGAGAAACAGTATAGCAGAGTGGTGATGAGCTCAGACTATGACACCAGAGAGCCTGGGTCCAAATCTTGGTGCTGCTGTTGACCTCAGACAAGATTACTCAGCTTCTCTGTGCATTGATTTTCTCATCTGTGAAATGAAAATAGATGTAACCTTATGAGGTTCTAACATAGGACTGAATACCATACTACAAGAAAATGCCCTGAAACAAGGCCTGGAATGGGGCGCCTGGGTGGCTCAGTCAGTTAAGCATCCAACTCTTGGTTTCGGCTCAGGTCATGATCTCACGGTTTCGTGGGTTTGGGCTCCGCATTGGGCTCTTCACTGACAGCACTGTGGAACCTGCTTGGGATTCTCTCTCCTTCTCTCTCTGCCCCTCCCCCACTCATGCTGTCTCTGTCTTTCTCAAAATAAATAAATAAACTGAAAAAGAATAAAAGAAAAAACAAGGCCTGGAACATGGTAAGTACTGTTAGCTCTGACTGCCAGCCACTCCCATGTCACTATTTGATGGAGGTGGAGGCTGGGCCTTACAGTTGCTCAAAGCAGTAGAGCTGGTTTTAACACAGATGATCCGGTTCCATTAAATTACACCCTCAGAGCTTCTTGCTTTTTATTTTATTTTATTTTTTATTTGAGAGAGAGAGAGAGAATGAGAATCTTAAGCAGGCTCCGCACTTAGCGTGTAGCCTGACAGGGCTTGATCCCACAACCCCAGAATCATCGCCTGAGCTGAAATCAAGAGTCAGGCCCTCAACCAACAGAGCCACCCAGGTGCCCCTAGACCCTCAGAGCTTCTGCCTGTTACTATCGATTGTGTTGGAGATTAAGCTTTATGAGTTAGCAAAATATGTGTAGACTGAGAAGATAAAAGGCTACTTTAAAGTTCTTTTCAATGCTGCTTCTTGGCTGGCTCTGACATAGGTCAATGCTGCATGTGGGGAAGAGCCTATATCCTTTCTGGTTCTATGCACAGCCCGCCGCAGCCCTTCTGCCCCCAGAAGCTGTGTTCTCCATGACTACTTTGCTCCCCATCTGCCCTCTTCCCCTACCTGTGGCCAAAGCAAGAGGCTGAGTCTGCAGTGCAAGAGGAACTCATCCTGGGGAGCTTGGGCTCCCTCCCCCCTGGTACCGTGTGGGTCTATGGGCACTGCCTTGTCCTTAGTGACTGCATTCCTTAGCCACCTTTCCCACAGTGTAAGCCCTTAGAGGGAAGAGGGCCTGCCTCTGCTACACCCTTCTCTCAAAACTTCCCTGCACCCCTGGGATCTGCCCAAGCTCCTAGGAAGGAGGTGGGAATAGGACAAGGCAGCCTGGAAACCCTTCTACCTACAGTACAGCACACATCTGAGCAATTGTTCTGTTTCTCTCTCGCTGTCCTTGGATCAGCTGTCACTCTTTTCAAAACTCCCTTTCTGCTTCTTCTCCTTACACTTTATGTCTTAGTGGAAATTCATTTGTTCATGCTTTAATTCCATATTGCAAATATTTATTAAGCACCTGCTATGTGCCAGGTGCTGAGAAAAAACAGGATAAACCTCCAGAACGTTACTCTCTCCAGGGTCTCACAGATGGAAAAATGTTACAGGTTTAATGTGAAAGGTTATATTCTTTCCCCCCTCTTTTTTGTGCTTTAATTAATTAATTTTATTTTAATTTTTAATTAAACATTTTTTACTAGTATGATTATAAATGTGAAATTTAAGAGGAATGTTCACTCTCTGGGTTTTTTTTTTCTGGATGTTATTTTTTGTTTCATTTCATGATTAGCATGGAAAGTAATTTTGTCGAATAGAGGAAGGGAGTGTTAACAATGGTCTGCTTTGGTTCCAGAGATTAGCCATTGGTTTTACAGTGAGCCAGGTAGATGCTCTTCCTTTCAAGGAGCTGGGCTTAAAGACTCCAGTCCTATGGTTACAGAAAGACCTGGCCAGCCTGCACCTCTGTGCCCTGACACAGAGGCTTCCCTGTGTAATGGCTGCCCTTTGCTTCTGGCTTTCACCCCCCCATCTCCACTTTGTCGCCCCTCCAGTGGCTGAGCGCAGCGCTGGGTTCCAGATCCCACTGCTTGGAGCCATGGCCATAGTGCTGGCAGTCATCTGCATGGCAGTCATCGTGGTGGTCACATTGACCAGAAAGGTAAAGACTGTAGCTGCACATCTCAGTCATGGCCACTCTGCCCCTGCCACCCTGTCCTTTCATGTCCCCTTCCTGTCCAGAGAGAGACCTTGATGTGCTCTCCCCCGCGGCCCTACATATCTGTTTTACGGTCCTTGCTCTGCCTTTCAGTGAAGTTGTTTATGCTCTTCTTCTGTCCCTTTCCTTGTCTGGGAACTGCAGAAAGCCTGGAGCTGTATTCCCCCCCATCTTGCTGTCACCTACAGCTCCTAGTTCTTGCCTGTCCCTGAAGCCACTCCCTAGAGAGTTTGATTTATCTATTGTGAGTTTGCTGTATTTTGGGCATCTACTCGGTACTAGGGATTTTTGTGTGTTAGCTTATGTAATTTTAACAACCTTCTGTGGTGTTGGGCTACTCAGCAGTTCTACAGGATGAGAAATAAACATTCCCCAAATTTAGGGGAAAAAGGTACATGGCAAGATCAGTAGGCTATACATCTTCTGTTGCTCTAGCTTAAGAGGTCATGCAGCTGAAAGAGTGCTGGATGGGGAAGTAGATGATGTCGTGTCTGAGCTCAGCATTGAGGGTGATTACAGGGAAAGTTGTGGAGTCTCCCGGGTCTCCATTTCCTCATCCAGAAAGTGGGGATGATGGTGATTCTACTTGCTCTGTATTACAGAGCTGTGAGGAACAGGTGGCACAGTACCTGTGACAGCCTTGTAAACAACGAAGAATTAGATGAATGTGCTTGTGTTGTAAACTGGTAGCTACTGATTAGGATGAATGAAAGAATTTCTGCTCCCTGTTTTGTCTGCCCTTTTGGACTTTTATTTTTATTTTTTTATTTTTTTAAATTTTTTTTTTTCAACATTTATTTTTGGGACAGAGAGAGACAGAGCATGAACGGGGGAGGGTCAGAGAGAGAGGGAGACACAGAATCGGAAACAGGCTCCAGGCTCTGAGCCATCAGCCCAGAGCCTGACGCGGGGCTCGAACTCACAGACCGCGAGATCGTGACCTGGCTGAAGTCGGACGCTTAACCGACTGCGCCACCCAGGCGCCCCCCTTTTGGACTTTTAAAGCCATCCCAGGTCGCCTTAATTTCAGTTACCAAACATTTGGGGGAAAGCAAGTCTGATTGCCAACATCGTTTTCCACCTCATCCTAGACCCTGCTCCCTTGTTCCTGATTCACTTTCCCCCCAAACTGGGTTCGGCTCAGTGAACAACCCCAGCTCTTCATCCCTGACATTTCTTTCTCTGGACCATGTGCTTGGTGCTGTTATTACTGATATATGTGGGTTTACAGGTACCACCTTATTTTCTTCATATATGTTTTGCCTGTTTTTTCCCCTACTCTTTCTGGCTGTCTTTTGAATTAAGTACTTACTATTATAAAAAGATCTATTTGGTAATTATGCTAGATTTGCTATTCTTTTAGTGGTTACAGTAGATATTACAAATCATACCCCTGACTTATTCAAGTACAGTATAAATTAGTGCTTTAATCAGGTCTTGGATTTTGCAAGAATCTTAGGGCGCATTAACTCTTTTTTACCTACTTTCCCAACTTATTGCTATTATTACCATGTGTTTTAGTTTTATATATATTTTAGACCCTGCAAGAAATTAGTATTGTTTTTAGAGTCACTATTCACTTAGATTTACCCTTTCTGTTGCTCTTTACTTCTTCCTGCATTTCCTGTCTTGTACCTAGGATCATTTTCCTTCTGTCTGAATAATATTGCTTATATTTCCTTTTGTGTAGGTGATGAATTATCTTGTTTTTTTTTTTGTCTGAAAATATTTTTAATTTTTCCTTAATTTAAAAATGATATATTTGTTTTGCTGGGTATACAATTCTATGTTGGCAGTTACTTTCTTTCAGGACATGGAAAACATTTTCCATTGTCTCTGGCTTCCCATATTTCTGTTGAGAAACTATGGGAATCTTATTTTTGCTCCTTTGAAGATATGGCTTTTTCTTCTCATTCCTTTAAAAACTTTCTTTCTCTTTGATTTTCAGCAATTGTACAGTGATATAATTAGATACAGCTGGGAACATGTAGTACTCTCAAGGCGGGTGGCTTGAAGACAGTTTAAAACAGACAGTTACGAAGTACTGGGCAGCATTAAGGAAACCATTAGGAGAAGTGTAGCAGTGTATTGTCACCCCTAGTCTTTAAGGGAAAGGGGAGAAGGTGATTACTAGAATCTGGAAAGGGAGAGATATGTGGAGGGGACCAGCTTGAGAAGTACTGTAATCTTTGATTGAAGGTTATAGCCAGTCTAAGGCAACTATGCAGAGAGAATGCCAGGGGAATATATATATATATATATATATATATATATATATATATATATACCCTCACCTCACTCTCCTTGCCTTCATCCTCTACTGTTGCTCTGCATTGGTTGAGCCCAAACCCAAGCCTGAGGGCAAGGAAGCCTGCTGATGCAGTACACATAGTTCCGTCTTCTTAGGAAACAGAATCAGGTGCAGAAGGCTGGAGAGCAGAGTTGGCGGGTGAACGGATGGTATCCACCCTTGCTGCTCACAGACCTGGAAACTGGGCAAGAGATTTTGACTTTCCAGGGGCGGGTTGCTGGTCTCAGCCTTCTCTCATGTATTCTTGATCTCTCGTCCATAGATAAGCAACACCCCTCCCTGTTGGTTGTCCATCCATATTTATCTTAGGAACACTGTGCTTTATTAGCCATCTTAATAGCCTGGTGGGTCAGGCTGCCATTGCAGTAACTACATCCACTTTGTTTCTTAAGTGCTACCATCTGCCCCTATATCATTTTGGGGTCTCCTCATTCCTATTGCTACTAGGGATCCAGGTCTATAAAAGCATTCAGCCCCAGCCTACAGAGGAGAGATACCACTGTGGTTCCCAATGATGCTGGTGCTTTCTTCACTAGCACATTCTCTTTCACCTTTGTAAAAGAGTGTCCTCTGGATCTTCCCTAGAAACATAATCAGCTATTGGATTTTCACAATTATGTAGTACAGGGATCGACCAAATTTCTCTGTAAAGGGCCAGGTAGTAAATCTTTTAGACTTTGTGGGCTATACCGTCTCTGTTGCAACAGTTCAACTCTGCCATTGCAGCATGAAAGCACCACAGACAATATGTAAATGGATGAGTATGGCTGTGTGCCAACAAACCTTTATTTATAAACACTGAAATTTGAATTTCATATAATTTTCATGTGTCATGAAATATTATTTTTCTTTTGAATTTGTTTTCAACCACTTAAAAATATAAAAATCATTTTTAGCTCACGGGCAGTACAAAAATCTGTGGTAGGCCAGATTTGAGCCATGGGCCTTAGTTTGCCAATCCCTGATTTAGTAGGTTATATTGGGGAAAACTCTGTTTTTTTCTTCTTCTCTACTCTTAACACTGCACAGAACACTTCTAAACAACAGATGGGTGGGTTTATTCCCACACTGACCAATTCTTCTATACCATCTGGGTGTCCTACAATCAATTCAGTTCTGACACTATCTACTTGGAGTTAACATCAGAACCCACACATTAAGGGCTCAGTCCTACAGGACTGCCCTCACTTTCAGACACCAACTGCAAGTCCCAGACTGTCACCTGTACTTCTGACTGACCAACTATAAATTGAAGTTTCTACAACCCCCTCCTTGGATTTGATAATTTGTTGACCGCTCACAGAACTCAGAGGAACACTGACTCTCATTTACTGGTTTGTTATATAATAAAGAATATGATAAAGGATACAGATGAATAGCCAGATGAAAGAGATACACAGGATGAGGTCAGTAAGGGTCCAAGCACAAGAGTATCTGTCCCTGGAGAGCTGGGGGGTGTTACCCTCCTGGCATGTGGATATTTTTAGAAAACTGGAAGCTCTTTGAACTCCATACTTGTGGGATTTTTATGGAGACTTCATCATGTAAGCAAAATTGATTATTAGCTCATGTTCCAGTCCCTCTCCTTTTTCTGCAGAATGGGGGGTGGGGATAAAAGTTCCAAGCTTCTAATCATGGCTTGGTCTTTCTAGTGACCAGCCTCCATCCTGGAGCCCACCCAATGTCACCTCATTGGAACAAAGACACTCCTATCACCAGGAAATTCCAAGCCATTTAGGAGTCCTGTGTAAAACATTCCTATCACTCAGCAAATTCTAAGAGTTTAAGGAGCATTGTGTCAGGAACTGGGGTTAAAGACTAAATATTAGTAGAAACTGAGGATAGAGACCAATATATATATGTTCCTTATGATTTTACATACGTCCATCATTGCATCCTACTTGTCTGAGGGTTTGGGTTCTTTCTTCCTTAGTTTGCCAAAGTGGTGTTGGTATCTCTCTTGACAGCAGTGTATTAGTATTGTCTCCCAGAGTCCTTGTGAGGGTGTTATATCTTAAGTCACGAGATGTGTCCCAATATTGGCCAGTCTCATATTTTGCTTGCCCAGCATGCCCCTTCACTCTGAGAATTCACTCCCAGACATGTTCTCCCATTGCTGCCAGTACATGTTGGCCGTGTCCTTTAGGTATAACCTCTCTCCTCCTTAAGCATTCCTGGCATTCCCTCAGGTACTGTAGGCTGCAGTCTTGCCCTAAATATGGGGCTGATGGCCTGTAGGGGACACAGGTCCTAACAGGGCCATAACTTCCATCAAGGAGAAGTGGGCCATTTTTGTAGCTCCATAGGATACAAGAGAAGCAGGTGGTTCTCAGTGAGCCTACCCAGAGATCCTCTTCCCAAGTCATAGATATCTCTCCTTTTCTAAGCATAAGAGACTTGCACAAGTTTACAATTCAGCCTACTTTGAAGTTCTGTCTCTCTTACAGTTAGGTCCTGTGCCTGGTCTTCAGTGCCAGAGATGTGTTTTTCTTGAAATGCTATCAAGAAGGAGCTTTGACTCTTCACACTTTGCTTCCAGGTGCTGAGAGATCTGAGCCTGTCATGCTCCCCGCTCCATGTACTGGGGAGAATTTAGTAAAAACTACTCAATCCCGCAGTTTGAATAACCACTCTTTTTCCATACTTCGCAAATGTCAGTGATGTGGCACCAGCTCAGATTCCCCTTCCATCTGTGTCCCATCCCATTCCACCACCACCACCAGTGGGGTTCGTATTCCCATCCAGCTGGGGAGGGATCCCTCCACAATACCATCCTGTGTCTGCTTCTAGGGCCATTTCCAGGAGCAACTGTTTTGGATCAGATCCCCATAAATAGATCCTGACATATGAATTTTGGTGAGAGTGATTTACTGGGATGGACTCTCAGGTGAAGAAGGGTAGTGAAGGAGTAGCTGGATAGGGCCAAGGGCAGAAAGCTCAGCCAGACTTTGTCTCAGCTGGAGACTTGACTGCAGCAAGAATTAATTGTATGCAAAGTTGGCTGTACCTTGAGGCAGGGAGCCAGATTTTTGAAAACCCACCTTAGTCAACCCCCAATTCCATATGCTAACCAGAGAGGGCAGGGCCCAACCACCATTCCCCAGAGAAGGGGCAGCTGTGAGCTGCCCACAGCCCATACTCTCAGTGTCTGGGGAATGGGATCCCTGGTAGGATCTAGCAGGTAGGATCTGAGCAGGGTGCCAACAGCGTTCTTTATAGACCCGGAGAGCCCATTGGTTGCATTATTTAGGAGCGTGGATTTTGGAATCAGACAGACCTAGCTTTGGATCCTGGCTGTACCACTTCAGTAGCTATGGTAATATCTATAAAGTGGGAATAATTATGATGCAGCTCTCATAGCGTTGTGGGAAAACATCAGTCAAGTAATTCATGTAAGGCACTTGGCATTTTTCCCGGCATGTATTAATAAGTATTAGTTATTAAGTTCTTGTAATTATTATAGATTTTATTTACCGTGGCACTTTATAATACTTGGTACTCAAAAATATTGATATTGCATGGATGTATTATGACTAAATGAATGGATATTGTTTGCTAAGCAGGTATTGCAAAGAGTTTCCCTAGGGGATCTTCTGTGAGGGAAAAGAGAGATGGCTGTGTCCAGCTCCATAACACTGACTACCCACTGTCTGTCCTCCTCACATCTCCCAGGGGGCAGTGTTTGTCCTCATAGGACCCAGCTGCAGTCTCCCTTCTTGCTCCTATAGGACCACTTCAGCCCCAGGCTTGTTTTTTGTACTGGCAATGACAGAGCCCCGATACACAGGGATTAAATGAAAACTGAGCAGCTGAGAGACCCATCTCAGGAATGTTTACATTTCCCAGAAGACTTTGGAAGCCAAAATTGTCAAGATTCCAGGGCAAGGGTGGCCAGTCTAAGAGTGGAAATGAGAACACACCAGCACCAAAGGTCACCATCAGTTCTTTGAGAAAGAATTGGATATTTATATGTTTGAAATGGATTGGGTTGCATCAAGGGATGTAGCACTCTTTTAGCACAGCATCAGCATGACCAATGATGACCCCTTTTCTTCATACCTATGGTAAGGGTGCAGCCATTGCATTGAAAAGGAATGAATGAAACAGTGAGTGGGAAGAGACCACCTGACTCCTGTGTGTCCTTCTAAGACCATGGCTTCTATCTAGGCCAAGTTCCTCAGGCCTGCAGTGTAGTGCCACCCCTAATATTTGATATTTGTTCATGGTGTACATCCGTGCAGCCTATCCACCCTTCCCGTTAGCCTATATGCGTGCACCGCTGAGCTCACACTAGCCAGTAAGGATGCTATTTCCTCTCCTGGGAAGTAGTAGATGATGGGAAGAATGGGATTTGGTTTTGTGTTTGTTGTTATTTTCCAAGCCTGTGTGTGGCTTTTTGTAATTCTGTCATCCAGACCCGTGGACGCACCCCATGGTGGGAGTGAGTGACATACTTTAGAGCAGAGTCTCCAGTAAGACTGAGAGGGTGTCACCTCTGCAGTTGATGCCATTAGGTGTTTCTTCTGCCATCCTGCTTGTGCCTACTGGTCTTTGATTTCCTTGGCTTAGCACAATCTTCACCTGTGATGCTCTCATATGGGGGCAATGGCTACCTCATACCCTTTGTTTTCCCAAACAGACTTCACTGTCTGTTCTATTTTCCCATAATAGCAATTGTAGCTGTCTGACTATGAGTCCCTTTGATTTGAAAATCCTGTTCTTTTAGGTATGGGCTGAGGAAGAGTGTGTGTGTGTGTGTGTGTGTGTGTGTGTGTGTGCACATGCCTGTGCACGCGCATGCATGTGTGAACACACACTTTTCAGTCCCAAAACATATATTGAATGTCTGTTATGGGCTCTGAGGTTACAAAGAGGAATACAGCATAGATCCTTCCCTCAGGGAGCCCACAGTTTGGAGAAGTAAGAGGGGTAAACAGGTAAGTTCTAGACAGCATTGCATGTTACAACAGAGAACATCTAGAGAACAGGAAGAATGTCACTCTCACAGAAGGTCAGGGAAGGCTTCTTGGACAATGTGCTATGGAGCTGAGTCTGGAGGAAAGAGTAGACAACTTTTTGGAGATCATATAAAAAGTTGGGGGAGGCAGAAAACAGTGCATGCCATTCGAGAAGCAATAAGATGAGAGGCAGCCTGGCTGAGGAGAAAGAGCATGGCCTGGACCCAAGTCAGAACGGGGATTGTCCTTGGGTAAGTGGCTTCACCTGTCTGCATATGAGCTCATTCTAAAGCAGAAACTTCAGTAGGGTTGTTGCTGAGATGACATGAAGAAGCTAGCCAGTACGTGCTCATAACAGCTTCTGAATAAATGCTCCCTGCCTGACACCCAGGCCGTATGCCAGGAGCTGGCGTGTTGAGTGGGGATGCACCACAGGTGATGAAGCTGCAAAGGTGAGTGTGACCAAATCACCAAAGGTGTTTTGGGGGGCATCACACACAATCTTCTGCAGGGAATGTAGTGAAATTATGGACTAACCTACGGTGTTTTACAAACCCCTTGACATCCACCTGCAGCCCCTCTAGGAGATTAAGCACCCTTCAGTAGGCAAGGGGAGCCATCCAAGGGCTTTAGGCAGAAGCATGGTGTGATCCAACTTCCAGTTCTAAATGACCACTGTGCTGATGGCCATGTGAAAGTTGGACCAGAAGAAAGAGGGAGTTCAGAGGTAGGCGGGTGCTGGAAGCACAGGGCGAGATAAGACGTGGGGGTAGGAATAGAGAAGAGGGAAGTGATTTCAGACGGACTTAGGAATAAAATTGGTTGGGAATTTATGGCCGATTGGAATTTAACATTAGGCTTCTGGTCATCTGGTGCTGTGAACCAGGAAAGAGAACATAGGGACAGGAGCAGGTTGTTGGGGAGGGAACATGATTGTCTCATTTGAGACAGAGTGAGTCTGAGCTTGCTGTGACTGGCCATTGGGTGGTCTGGAGCTTGGGGCTGGAGCCCGGGGTAATTTGGGTAGAGATCTGGGAATGTTCAGAGGGCAGATGGTATTTGTAGAGGTCCATATACATGAGGTGACTCAGAGAGAGTGTTCAGAGTGAGAAAAAAGAGGGCAGAGCTTGGGGAGTCCCTTTATTTGGGGAGCTAATGTGTGAGCAGGAGAAAAGCAGGTCCGGCTGAAGGTGAAGGTGGGAGTTTGCAGGAGGAGGAGAACCGGGAGAGAGTGATACTGTGGGAGCCAGGGAAAGAGAACATTTCCAAAAGGAAGAGGTCAGCAGTGTCAGAGGCAGTAAAGAGAACAAGAGAATTGAGACAGAAAGCTGCTTCACGGGGTGTGGGGCTCACTGCATGTGGAACAAGGGTGGTTTCACTGGAGTAGTTAGTACTGAAATCTAGCTGTGATGAGGCTGAGAAATTAAGGGTTAAGGAATTGGTATTGGTAAGAACACAACTTTGCTTGTGTGCGTGCGTGTGTGTGTGTGTGTGTGTGTGTGTAAGAAAGGAAGAGAGAGATGATTGTAACTATGTATCATGTTGGGGAATAACTTCTGAATGACATCCCCTCCTCCTCACTTTGTAGTTTGTTTGTTTTCAGAAGAAATCTCTCAGAGCCCATTCTTCGGAAAGTGGCCTCAGGAGAATGCCTCGTGAACAGGAGGGATGGAGTGCCGGCGTTCTGTCATCTGCTGGAAGCTGCATCCAGGCAGAGGCTGTGCCCGTGGTCTTCTGCACAGAGCGGAGGGGAGATGACTGTGCCGAGCCACATGAATACTTCAACGTCCTGAGTTACAGGAGCCTTGGAAGCTTCAGCTTCCCAGCAGAGACCAGTTAGCTCCCAGAGGCATCGTCTGGGAGATACACTCCTGTCTCTGCTATTACAGGTGGATGATGTACAAGGGTCTGCAGTCTCCATTATTGCTGCGTGTGTGGGTGTGTATGTTCAGTTGAGTGAATGAATGTCATTCTCTTCTCCACATCTCCTCTGCCTTTCCCTTCCCTGGTGGCAGACCCAGAGTGAACAGCTTGTGTCTTGATTATGAATGCAAAGTTAAAAAAAAAAAATAACTTGACCTGGTTTGAGCGGATCTTATGGCTCTGAGAAATGCATTCCCAACAGGAGCACTGGGCAGGGCTTTGGGCTGTAGTTTTGTGATGGATGATGATGATGATATGATCATCTCATTTGTCATGGTCATTTTCATCAACATTCACACATTCAAGGCATTTTATGAACAAGGCATGACATGGGCATGGGCTTCCATGGGGCGATTTGGGCATGACTAACCCACCCTCTCAGGTCTCAGCCTTTATAAACCTTAAAGTTAAATGGGGTGATGACATTTGCATTAAAGGTAGTAAGAAGACAGGGAGACAAGACATGCGTCTTTGGGAAGAGATGTGGTACAGGCTGAGGTGGTCAGGATAGGCTTTGTCTGGGGCAAAGTCCTGGGAGGATGGAAGGAACAGTGAGGCTTATGTGGTCAGAGCAGGAATTTTGTCCAGGGAGGTCAGAGAAACCGAACAGAACTACTGAAATTCCCACGTGGAAGATCCTGGCACCAAGGGAGCCAACAGGGCTTCACATTTTACTCCCTGAGAAGCTAATTCAAGTCTCCTTTTGCTGGGTGCGCTTGGAGTCCAGGGATGGGCTGCAGCAGGGGACCCCAGGTCTTCCAGCTGCCCGCTGGGGGGGCTGCAGCTTAGCCCCTGGCCAGGATCCACCTTTTCTCTGTCAACCCACCACGGAGCCTGTGAGGAAAGAATCTGTGTCCACCAAAAGGAAAACCTGGATTTTTAAAAAAGGGACTCTTCCTAGGAGGGAGAAAAAAGAGTGATTGAGGGTTTAAAAATGAACACCCTCCCACTAGCTGCTCTGAACCCTTAAATTCACCCTCTGACCTCTTTGTGCTGGGCTTTGGGTGGCATCTAAGTGCGAGTTTCTGTTTAGCTGACAATCAGGCCTTTATCCTGCCATCACCTCTCTTATAGGATTGAGGAGGAATGCTGGGCACGGAGGTGACAGATTTTCTTTCATGGGCACAGGACATGAGAGAGGATGTGAAGCTAGGCTGTCATTTGCCAACAGCTGAAGTGAAGTATTGCTCTGCTCCCTAAGTAGGCAGGCTGAGCAAGAAGAAAATTCAACTCCTACTCCTTGGATTTGTATTTTTATTTTTCTCGCTTCTCTACCAAATAGGTATGTACTTAGGAGCAACGAGCCCAAATCTGTCCGGAGTGCTGAGTCCTTTGGAAGACAGACAGATGCATGTCAAATGCTGCTCTGGGCCATGGCAGCCCAGCACATTCTTCTTGCCGAACTAGTGCAAACGGCTTGGGAGTAGAATACCATTCACGAATTGGAAATGAACTAAGACGTACTGACAAAAGGGAGCTACAGTTTGCTTTGGAGGAGACATATATTGAGGTCAAGGCTGGACTGAGTGTTGGGTGTTATTTAACATGATTATAGTGACAGGGAAATATCTACAAATACCATTTGGATGGAGATAAAAATACAAAAGAACCCATAGATGCTATAAATGGGCCAGGTTGCTAAAATGAGATTGAATTAGACAGAAAATAAATTTTCAAGTGGAATTCACTGAACTAGATTTTCCTTGGAGAACCAGAGAAGACAATTCCCTAAAAGCCAGATTCCTGGACAGGTGTCCTGTCCGGTGCGGTAGCCATTCTCCACAGGTAGCTGTCGAGCAGGTGAGATGTCATAGTCTGAATTGAGATGTACTGTGCTGTAAGTATAAAATGCACACTAGATTTTGAAGGCTGGTTGTGTGTAATAAAAACAGAAACTATCACGTTAGTAATCTAAACATATTGATGACATGTCAGAATGATAGGATTTTGGATATTTTGGATTAAAATATGTTATTAAAATTAATTTCACCTGTTTCTTTTTAATTTCTTAATATGGCTACCGGAAAATCTAAAATTGCATATGTGGCTCCCATTATATCTTGATTGGGCCATGCAGCACTAGACTCTGGACCTGAGCACAGCTGGTACCAGGGAAGGGTGTCCATCACTGATTGGTGGTCTCTCTCTTTTGCTCTCATTCAACATAGGGTTTGAGGAGACTTTCTCCTCTTATTATGTCTTTTGAGAAACACATAGGAGAGGATTATAGGGGAGATGGAGTTAGGAAATTATTAAGTGCAGACAGGAAGTGGTCCTAAGCTCTCTTGGATCCCCTCTTGGATTTCATGATAGGAGAAGGGAAGATAAATGAATTAAAGAATGAGAGTTTGGGGAAGAATAAATGTACTGGCTCCCGACCCTTAGAATTACTCCACATTCTAAGCCTGGGCACGTACAGTCTGATCTCTAATCCAAAGAACTATCCTGAGCAAATATGAGAAATTTTGAGTCATAGAGCTTTGAGGTAGGTGATCTTCATGAGTAGATAGAGTTTTCTCATGCAGTTTTATTTCATGACTCATTCCTTCTCACCTGTCAGCCCCTGGGGATGAATCATCACGCACTCAGGTTCATATGGATTCCATCAGTGCTGAAGCTAGACAGACAGAGTGGCTGTGTGCTGTGTGCAAATGGCAGCATTCTGGTGGGCACGCCGTCCCCACAAGGCAGAGGGAAGCAGCAGCATGGCTGTGGCTGCCAGCTGGGGGATGTGAATTTGGTTCCATCTTCTGGGTCTTCCCAGTGCTGCTTCAGGGCTGTAACTAGTAAATTTCTGCATCCACTCCAAAGTACACCTGTCAAGAGGCTCAGAGGAGCCTTACGTGTGCAAGAGCCTGAGCTTTCAGGAAGTCAGAATTATGAACTTCAATGTTTGATAGAATTTTTTTGCAGAAGGTAGAGTCTGGGACAGTACTATCCAGTAGAACTTTCTTTGATGATAGAAATGTTTTGCATCTGTACCATTCAGTGTGGCAACCACTAGCCACACGTTGCTATTGAGCACTTGAAATAAGGCTAATGTGACTACAGAACTGAATTTTAAATTTTATTTCATTTTAATTAACTTAAATTTATTTATTTATTTATTTATTTATTTATTTATTTATTTATTCATTCATGAGAGAGGGAGAGAGAAGATGTGTGTGAGTTGGGGAAGGGCAGAGGGAGCGAGAGAATCTCAAGCAGGCTCTATACCCAGCGCAGAGCCTGACGTGGGGCTCGACCTCATGACCCTGAGACTATGACCTGAACTGAAATCAAGAGTTGGATGCTTCACTGACTGAGCCCCCCCCAAAGTGCCCCGTCAGTTAATTTAGACATCACAATTCTAGTAAGTCTCTTGCATGTGGAGAAAACACAGAAGTATGTTTATAAGCCATTGGATGGGTCTACAGATGCTATGCATGTGGAAGGGCTCCCACCAGGAATAAGCACGGAGGTCCTCTTCCATTCTCCTGTGGACTTTCTTTGATAAAAACAAAGCATGAGGTGAAAAGCAGGCTGTGCATTTGTTTATTTCAGACTCTTCCTCAAAAGGTATCTGAGGTAGCCAAGGGGTTGTGTTCATTTAAGCAGGGCTACGGTCCTCTAAAGGTTTGCAAGTCATAGGTGTTATGCAGGAATAGACATGCATCACAGGATTTGCCCTGGACTACAGTCATTCTGACTTTATGTCAGAATGTTGTGAAGAATACATCCTCTGGTGCTAGAAGTCTAGTTGATTTTACAGAGATCAGAAAAGAAGTACCTAGGGTGTGTTGTGGACTGGAAGGGGTGGGGGCACCCGGTTAAGTGCTAAGTGCTGCTACTGAGCTTTATGGCATTTGATAAGCCACTTAACCTCCTGATCTTCATTATAAATGTTTCCTTATTTGTAAAATGGTGATAATAATATCTACTTCTTAAGGCTCTTGGGAAGATGAACAAAATGTGGTTGAGTCTTTGTAAGCTATAAAATGCAGAATTAATGTTATCATTATTGTGCCTGGCACTGCTTATGATGCCACAGAGGTCCCCGAGGGGGCATCAGACCTTGTTGGGAGCAACCAGGGTATCTCGAATTATCAAACTCTTGAAAACTGGGATGTAAGGAATGCTAAGAGTTGCAGATATATCTGTGGGATCTGCAAGTTCTCTGTAAGTATTTTAAAATTTTGTGTTTGAAGTGAGACAAACTTTTAAAAAGTCAAACATATCTTGGATAATGATGACTTTTTAAAACAAGGTATTGTTGTTGCCTTCAGTTTCCATATTTGTGTTTACAGTTAAGTTGATTTCAAGACATGGAAGCTTAACTCATAGATGATCCATTTACTCCAGGAGGGTGGACTGGTGGGAGATTTTGCAGTAGTTGAAATAGTAGGAAAATGGTGGGAAAGCTGTTTTCACTCTGTGTGCAGTATGGATGCCACCCGCAGAGGGACATGGGACAGAGCAGGCAGTCCACCTCACTTTGTGAGCGGCAAAACATCACCCAGTATATTAAATTCATAGCTATTTTAAATTATTAAAATTAATAATCCATCAAGATGCTGCTACGGTTCACAAAACTCATGTAAGGGCAAACCAGGCATCATGAAATATTTTCTTTTTCTTTATTTTCTATTGCCTAGAGTATCAGGAGAACTTAGGGATTCAGTGATTGAGTTGCAAGAACATAGTATTTTAATTCACAGAGGTCACCTTTCAGCCCAGAGTTCTCCTTAAGACCCTTCCCCCATCCCACACCCCTGCCTAGGCATCTGTATTCCTCATACTGGTGGAGATGTCCATCCACACTCACTTCCTCCAACCCAAAGTCTGCAAATCCCTGGGAGTCCCCAAACTTGACTGCTTATTGCTTGGACCCTTCCCTGGCATGCCCAGCCCATAGATCTTTCTCTTAGTTTATCAACTTCCCCGCACTGACAGTCTGAATTGTACAACCTAGCTCTTGATTTTATATGAATCTT